ACAAGAGCCCTCCAATCGTCCATATCCTGAGACAGATCAGTCCATATCACCTCATTCTCTCTCTCCAAGATTCATTTTAATATTCTCGCCTACGTCTAGGTCTTCCCAGAGGTCTCTTTCATTCTGGCTTTCCCACCGAAATCCTATACGCATTAAATAACGCAGAAAAATGTAGTTTATGTATAAGACCGAAAAGTTTGTGACGATGGTACATCAGTACAAATGTCATGTTTATGCACGTTATTCATTGACTTGCCTTTATCTGAAAACATAGGACGATTGATAAAGTCCAAAAACATGATATATGTACTAGTTTATATATGCTGGAAACATTTTGATGAAATTTGGTAAAAAAAAAAAGTAAAGTTATCCCCGTAACAAGTCGTGAAGACCCATAGGGTTGTGAGACGTTGAGGGTCCCACATTTTCTAGACAATCGGCCCAAAGATGGCGGTAAGGTTGTCAGCCTTACGCGCCGGCCGCGCTTTACTCCCCAGGAAAATTATTTAATTAATTCCTGGTACTCATTTCTGTTAGAGGCTGAGCCGACCCCAGGGCCATAGTGCGGCCGGAAGGAATAGGTCAATTGAAAATAATTCAATTATGTCATCGGGATTTGAACCCGCGAGCTTCTGGCTTGTAGCATAGTGCCTCAACCAACTACGCTACCGCGTGCCCCCACGATGAAATTTGGTAGGGACATTAAAACACTGGAAAATGTCCTGAACCCTAATAGCATAGGGTTTGGAAGGCACGTGTGAGAGCAAATCTTTGACAGGTGTTAGATTTTCGTTGAGCATTTGGGGGAGGGGGTAAAGTTGTGTGAAATATACTTAGCTTTCGGTTTGATAGCGATAAGGGTTGAATCACTGGCGTTGGGCATGTGAAATTTGGTATGACGATAGGGACTAGCCCTATCGATTGGGCCCAACTAAGTGGGTTTCGCCTGAAGACGGAGACAGTATGACGATAGGGACTAGCCCTATCGATTGGGCCCAACTGAGTGGGTTTCGCCTGAAGACGGAGACAGTATGACGATAGGGACTAGCCCTATCGATTGGGCCCAACTGAGTGGGTTTCGCCTGAAGACGGAGACAGTATGACGATAGGAACTAGCTCTATCTATTGGGCCCAACTGAGTGGGTTCCGCCTGAAGACGGAGATAGTGTGACGATAGGGACTAGCCCTCTCGATTGGGCCCAGCTGAGTGGGTTCCGCCTGAAGACGGAGACAGTACAGTCTCCGAAACGTTGTGTTTGAAATGAAAACAAGATGATGAATAATGTCCAGAAACACAGTAGTTGTTATGAAGACAAATAACTGACATACTTCTGTATTAAATGTTGTTTCGAAGCCAACGGTTAGAAACATGGCAACGAGGCGAAACTTTGAGTTCATACTTGGAGCAGCTAGGAGCATTCAAACAAGCTGTGTGCATGTCGGTTCGAATTGCAGTGTATGATACTGCTGTGAAACTCGTTGAGAATTCCGTGGTCTTACCTTCTGTTATATAGACGTTCCTACTTCCCTTGCTTACTCCGCATTTATTTCCAGACCTACATGTTATCGAATGATACGTCGAGGCCTCGTTCAACGCCATCTCGCACGGATAACACGCACAAATAGTAAAGTGTAAACCTTCTCCTTTAGACAGTATACTGCACTTCACATATTCACATCGAATTTTATCAGACACTCACAGAATAGACACGATACAGTGAAATAAAAAACTGCTCGCTTTTTCGTGACCTGCTACGTAACTTATGTTTATGCAACGTGTTAACGCTCAACAGTTCGTTGCTATAGTAACCCGAAATGGCGCAACGACTGATAACTCTCACGCCTACGAGATTTTTTTTATACACGACAAGGGACATTATCTTGTTATGCTGTGGTACGTGGGTCGATGCGGGTGGAATTATAGCAGGTAAGAGCGGGTTCTCTTGTTGAGAAATGTCTGGCTCGTAGAATCGTTTCATTGGTTAACTGAAACATTTGTTAAGTCCCAAGGAAGCGGCCGTGGCCTAAGCTAAGATAGTTTCTGTACTGACGAAAACCATGAACAGTCTTACAGTCTATATAGCCGGTGTCGGGGTTAAGATACGAACCCAGGACCCACTGAATACGGATCAGCAGTGTTATCGAGTCGACCACGGCGTTTGGAAGTGGAACTGAGTAGGGTTTGCTGTTGGGTGTGTACGCGAACGCTTTAGAACTTGGAGACAGTCAGCAAGAAAGCTACCGGAGCTGCTGTCCACGCGGCGGCGGCAGCTTGCGCCCTGGGCAGCGTTACTACACCCCCTCCCACACTCCCCCCGCAGCCATCGACTTGCCGTTTCTGGTTTTACCGGTACGGATTCGAAAACACGAACAGCTGGAATTGAATTATTCAGCAGATGAAGCGCAAACTTCTTTTTCTTTTTTATTTTGCTGGAATTTTGAAAACCTGCGCTCAGAATTCTTCTTGGCCATGCCAGACTGTGGGGCTTTAAGATGTGGCTAATATTATATGGGGCCCCTTTAAGGGGTTATTTCGCGGTGGAAGCACCCCTGAATATATTTTCACATTTTCACGCGTTGAAAATTAACATTATAGTTATGACGTCATGCTTAATTAAGCTCGGGGATAACTTTGATTGTTACCTTGCTAATTACGAGTTAGTTCTTCGTAAAACATAATATAAATTCTAGTGCAAATGGTTACGTTTACTAGTGAACAGTTTGGTGTAGCGGTAACACTCGAGACTCGTATTCGTGAGTTTCTCGGTTCGAATCTCGGCTGGGAAACCGATTTACTGACTTAGATTTTCGTTTTCCTCAGTCCTTCAAGACAAATGCCGGGATGGTAACCTCGATTAGGCAACGACCGTATAGCTGCAGATCCTTTCCACTTCATTAGTCATCCCACCATCCGACGCTAAGCGGTCTCGATACTGCAAACGGCGTTAAAAAACCAAAGGAGAAAAACAGTTAAATTTATTTCAATAAAAATTTTTGGAGGCATGAAGGTATGCGTCATGTCAAAAGGTGTGATAACCACCAGTGTTTCTGAGGAACTTGCTGCCTCCATCTTCAGGGTCAAAGTCTGACCAGATAAGACCACAATGAAAATCTCAAACCTCACGACGTTCTCAGATCTCACAGTTCGAGAATCAGTCAGTCGTAAACACGGCAGAACATGAGATTAAATTTTCATGTGATATTTTGAATGCGTTTAATTTAATAGTAGAATGTTTATAGTTAAGTCTGAGGGTAAAAACCCTTGAGTTACGAAAGTGTTTGTGAGTCCAAAGAGGTTAGTTACTCTTTGTAGAAGATATCAGGTTCATAACGGAACACGTGATGGGCCCAAAGAAACAAGTTACCCTCTCAGCCTTCAGTTACGTTATTAGCCTAGTTAATATCATCTAAGCGGCCTCCGTAGTCTAGAGGTAACGTTCCCACCTCATGACTCGTGGTACGCGGGTTCAAATACCCGGCGGAGGTCGTCGAATTTTTAAGGGCGGAAAAATTCAGGGAACAAGTCCTCCGGGAGGGACTTTAAGCTGTGTGTCCCGTGTCGTAACTTTACGGCACGTAAAAGAACCTCATATCCCCAAAGGGGATCACTGAGCCAAATTCCAGGACGTTTCCCGCCCAACAATAGTCTCTAAGGCCTCTGATAGATGGGGAAGCATTATAGACACCGCTAAGCAAGTGGCCGAACTCGCTTGCTCGGCGGGACTGATGGTACGCACCATTTATCGGTAGGGTAAAGAGACTGGTAGAATATCATAGAGGGAAGCACAATAGATCAGACTTATCGCGGTGCATGGGGAAACCCACCCTCTCTAAATAACTAACTAATATCATCTGCGTCTTTTGAGTCCAAGGAGTAGATACTTTGTCCTGTTTGGACTTAAAGGAAAAAATCAGATACAATTATTCCCTAGGTGGGGGATCAGCCTATCTCAAGACTTTATAGAAGATGAGTAACTCTCTGATTATTGACTTAGATTCTTATACTTTGTAGATGTGGGTGATGATGCCGCCATTTCTGAGGTACGTTCTGCCTCCATCATCAAGGTCAAAGTATGTAAGATGCGTAAGTTTCTGTGTATACAGGATCCAGTTCCGAAAAACTCCCCACTTTCCCTTCGCGTTATTCGAAACAGCATCATATGGGCCTATATACACAAACTTACCCACCTTACACACTCCGACCCTGAAGATAGAGGCAACATGTTCTTCCGAAACGTCGGCAACATCAACACCCACACGATGTAACCATCCGAGAACGATCAGCATGCACATTTATGTGTACGTTAAGCAGGTTATCTCAGTGGCCTTCGTTTAACTTATGTATCAGTTTTTATTTGTGGTAATTTTTTTACTTTTCCGTCTGATATTTAACTTTTTTTTTAGTGTCGATAAGGAGCACTTCTGTTTCTCAGGTGGCGCTGTGTGCCGTAACGCTGTCATAAGTCAGTTTCGAAGCCGATGTCGTGTAAATATAGCGGTTTCCCGTAGCGGCGCTGTGCACTGCCGATCAATCTCCATTTGGCCACACTTATCTACAATTTCTGCAACTTCATTATTATCGTCCTGCCTCTTATGCAACCCATTAGCTTACCTTAGATAATTAGGTACTCTTATACCCCCCACCCCTCGCCATATTATCTCTCTTCTTCCACTACTGTTTTGTGAATCA